GTTGGCCGGCCATCCGCTCATTGGCCGCGCCGCCCGCAGCGCTCATTGGCCGCAGCGCGGAGGCGGGCGCGCTCTGCTGCCCCCCAGCGGGCGCGGCGCGGCGCAGCAGCCGCGCTGCCGGCCGCGCCTGCGCGTTCCGCTTCCTCGTTCCTGCTCCGGGAGCGCGCGGTGCCCACGCGCGGCTCCGCAGCAAAGACGGACCACGGCACCAATGCCCCTTTTTATTCAAGAGAGGTAACAATTACAAGTCAGCATATGCATCGTTTAAAATAAAAAATAGTCTGTTCTGATAGAAAACCCGAGAACCAAAAAGCCCACCCGCCACCAAAGTAAGAACGAGAGCTGGCACCCTCCAAGGTGGTGAACGCGGTCAAGAACCAGAAAGAAACGTGCTCAGGACAGAAACAGGCGCCCTAGTCTTTCTAGGGCAGGGTGGAGCATCACCGCGCAGGGTGCATGCGGTCGCATGGCCTGCCCCAAACCCTTAGCCAGGTAACTAACGGGGCCAGAGCCTGGAAAGCTGCTCCAGCACACAGCTCAGCAGGATGGCTTCAGGCAGGGTGCCGTCCCCGCCGAGGCGCACACATCGAGGTGCACACACCATGGCTTTGCAGCAGCCTCCGGCCGCACTCGCACATCAGTGGGTAGGGTGCAAGACTCTGCAGCCTGGTAACTACTTTGAGGACGCCTAGATGCGTGCTCCAGTTAAAGGGACTGACGTAGCTGGGCACAACTGGGAATTTGTTTTCATTTTTGGCAATGAAGTCACCAGCCCCAGAGGCATGGCACAAGTTGCTTGAAACCAGCCCAGCCTGTGACAACACAGTTGTCAGACACAAACCTCCCCCTGCAGAGCGGGAAGTGGACAGACTTGAGCTTTGACCTACGGAAGCAAGTACTTTAGAAGCTTTCCCCTCCCTTCAGGGGCTGGTAAAGGCAGAAGTCTTGCTCCTCTTTAACAAGGACACGCCGCCTCAGACAGCATGCTCTCCCTCACAAACCTACAGAGGGAATTGAGAAGCTTTGTCTGTGCCTCTTAGATAGTTTCTTAAGCTACAAATACAGCCAGCAGCAACCCAGAGCCAAGAGAACTCAACAGGAAGAGATGCTGGCTCTTCAGGAGTGAGACTGAGAGGCGCAGCCTCTGCTTAGAGTTGTACAGAACTAGAAGGGAGGATGTTTCCAATCACTTGCTTTAAAGTGAGTTACAGAAAGAACTGCTATTGCCAATTCTACTTCAGAGGAACACTTTACTGGAGAGTATTCCTGACAGTCTGGCTATCTGCTTCTTCCTTCCATGGAGGTTCAAGATTTTTGACTCAAGCTATGTTATTCACTTCACTGTCAATCTGTATGACCGGATATACACAGCTCTCATTCTGGTCTTTGCCCACTGTATCTTCAACCTCCAGCAAAGCAAGATTGTCCAGATTAGATCAGAAACACCCATTTTAAAAAGAGATTGTGGTAACTTATCAGTCTCTCCAACACATGCTTTCCCATTCCAGAGGCAGGGTGAAATCCGCAGATAAAACACAATCCAGACAGGCCTTTAGCGCCAGCTCCTGACACAGCTCTTCATATAGTTGTAAGGTCAGCTTTTTTTCCTGGCTCCTTTCACGTGAAAATTATCTCCCCAGACACAGAAACAAATGTGAGGCTGGAGTGGCTTATACACCCGTCTCATTTTTTTCATTGTTTCTGAGATTAGGCTCTTCTTGTTCCTTCCTCATCTCCAGGCCTTTCACCCACGTATAGGCAAAGGAACCCCCCAGAACCATCAAGTTACTCATCCACCACAGGAAGCTCTTTGTCTCCTCAAAATAGACAACAGCCAGCACTGTTTGGGCACAGGCCTTGGCTGTCCCAGAGACATTGTGGGTGAGCGGGCTAGTGAATTTAATCTGGAGTCCAGTCACATACCCAATGGCAAAGCCAAACACCCCCCCCAGGGTCATCATGCCCCAAAAGCTGGGGCTGCCCAGCTTGTCGAAGCGGTAGAGGGTGTGGAACTCGCCCAGCAGCATCATGAGGGGGAGGAAGAGGACACAAGCATTCACGTTGTTGTAGAAGGTCAGGCGCCAGATGCTTCCATCCACCACTGGCAGCACCTTCTTTGTGTAGATGGCGTTGAGCGAGACGCACAGGCTTGCCAAGACCCCGAAGAATATACCGGTCCATGACAGAGTGCCCTCTGCCCCTTCCTGGTCAACACCCAGCCAGAAGCCACCTGCAATGAAACAAATCGGGAATAACCTGAAAACCTGCTGAAGAATTCAGTACGCATAGCCAGTGATTCAAGCAAAAAATACCCAAAGAAAAGCCACAAAAGAACACAATTATAAACACAGTTTGCCTTAAAGATTTTTCCCTTTCTAGCATGCTAATCCACAATGTGTCGGGACTAGCATTCTGAGGAGCATTTTTTTTAGGAGTTCAGGTGTTTTACTAATCATTCAATCTGAGAGGATTGACTTGTACAGGGAATAGGCAGCATGACTTTAGAAACAATTACTCCAAAAAGCCATGAACTGAAGTTAAAGAGAACCTCTGTATACAGATCATTTACAGAAGATCATGTGTTTTTTTTAATTGACCAGGAAGCAAGTGGACAGAGTAGCAAGAAATATACCTCTCTTATCGCATTATGGGGAACTAGTTCCACAACCTACCTAGTCTTGTTTGCACTGTTATAGGAATAATAATAAAAAAAAAAAAAAAGTAAAAGAAGGAAATATAGTAAAATACATGGGTGTAATACTCAGAAGCTTTAGAAAAAAAAATAAAAAGATTAAGAGAGAAACTGAGCTCAATGTTTTTATCATGTTGAACTTCCTTGAGAGTGAGAACATTCTTTAACCAGCTCCGAAAGAGAAGTTACAGATTTGTCTTTCTACAGGGCAAGGAGACCTCCCCTCACCCAGCTCATAAGAAAACCATTATAGGAGATTTCAGTTTCTGAAGGAACACTGGAGGCAACTGATTGCATCACCTGGGCAAAGCAGTAGCTGTTAGTCAGACAGGCCCTCCTGTTCACCCCTTCTGTTGGGAAGGGAATCGTGTAACTCATTTGCATTCAATCCACCTGCTTGTCTAAGTACAGGAGTGTACACACATGCACCCGGAACTGGGCTAAAAAAAGTCATTGTCCTTGGCATCTGAACAGCCATGAAGTACAAGGTTGTATAGTGATTTTGGTCCATTAGCTTACCCTTCATCGGGAGCATTCAACTTGTCTCAGCTCACAGACTCCACTGTATGCTCCCAATGGCATTTACAGTTATCAAATACCATTGTGGTTATCAAAGCTAATAATGCAACAATCACTTGAAATAGGAAGAAAGCCAACAGTTGTTTTAAGGCCTTTGTGGAAAAAATAGCAACAAGTTCACAGAAGTTAAACCTCAGCAGAGACTTGATAGTTACTTAAGGAGAATCAAAGGGAAGTGAGGAGGGGCTAAGAAGAGAGCAGTCAGGAGAAAGGAAAAAAAAAAAGAAAAGTAATTTCATCTGTTAAGGATCATTACCGATATACTCTAGATATGCAAAGCAGATTGTCCAAGGTAGTGCAAAAAAGGAGCCCTGAAGTTGTGCTGTTTATCAGGGAACAGCTGTGCATGTGGAGGAAGGCCATGAGAGAGGAAGGACAGTTTTGCATGGCTCAGCATTCGGGGGAGTCAGCTCAGTGGCCTTGCAGGAGCTTAAGGCCACAATAACACTGCCAAGCCCCAGTGCCCTAAAGGATCACCACTCCCATCAGGTGGCTGGCACTCCCACTGCCCACTTTGTGCTTACAAACAAGCGGTCCCGAGCAACATGTGCAGATAAAGAACAGGAACTCTTGCAGGAGTTCAGCATCCCTATCCTGCAGGGGTACATCAGGAAAGGGATAGATACTGCTGTGTGGTTACAGACTCGCAGTCACCACAGCTGGAGAGCACAGAGGCCTTGCCAAGAGATGTTCCCACCCTAGGATGAAGCAGCACAGCCAGGAATGAGACACCAGGACCCCAAAGCCCAGTTTTGATCAGGCCTCTCTTCAATCACCTGCGCAAGCTCAGGAGAAGTCTCTCATGCAACTCTTTGAGGTTGCAGGACTGCCTGCACCGCACAGTGGGTCTCTAGGGACTGCAAGGGTCTGTGGAACCCCAAGGCCACCCAGCATGGGTGCCCCCTCGCCCCTGCTCACCTATGATGACGCCGCAGGCCAGCAGCGCGTAGAGCGACGTGGTCTGCTTGAGGAGCACGTAGGAGAGCAGCACGTTGAAGACGGTGGTGAGCGAGCGCCCCACATTGTAGAAGGCCACGCCGACGTACTTGAGGCAGAGGTTGTTGGAGGTGATCATGCCGATGAAGACGACAGAGAGGGGCAGGACGCTGCGGGACACCTTGGGGTCGAGGCGCAGGGCGGGCAGGCCGGGGCAGCCGGGGGGCCCGCAGGCAGCGCCCAGGCTGAGCCCCAGGCACAGCGCGGCCGTGAGGGCGCACTGGAAGAAGGTGACGAAGAGCGGCGCATTGAGGCGCAGCGAGGGGCTGTCCAGCAGGTACTTGTTGAGGAAGACCATGGTGATGGAGGTGAACCAGTAGAGGCAGACCACGAGGGCGATGCGCAGCGCCCGCAGCACGAAGGGCGCCGGCCGCCCCGCGCCCTCCTCGGCCGGCAGCAGCGGGTCGGCGGCACCGCCGCCCAGCGCCATCCGCAGGATCCCCGTCCGCTTCAGCTGCGCCCTGTTCATGGCGGGCGAGGCCGTCGGGCGCCCGCCCCCCGCTCCACCCCTGCGGCCGCGCCGCCCGCCGCTCACCTGCGCCCGCCTCTCGCCGCCGGCCGCGCCGCCCCGCCCCGCTCCGCCCGCCCCGCCGCCGCCATGTTGGGACGCGGCCGGCCGTGGCCGTCCCTGCGCTGTGGCGGCCGCGGCGGGAGGCCTGGGCGGCTGAACGCGGCGTTTGCTTTTATAAGCAAAATAATAATAATAATTATTATTCCCAAGTGCAGAGTGTCCACAGCATTCTGAGTGTCTTTTCTTTTTTTTCTCGGGGGCCTTTTATATTCTTTCCATTTCTTTCTGGGACGCTGCTAAAGCCCCTGCTTCCTTCAGTACTGGCTTTTTTTTCTTTTCTTCCACTCCCCCTCCTCTCGGCCCCCCCCCAATTCTCCTTCCAAAGACACTGGCTTCATCTTTTCTTGTCCAATTCTGTGCTGCTTCAGGAGTCTTTAAATCACAGCAGGGCAGATAATGCTCTTGGTATTGGGGCTCTTTGGAGGTAAATTATTAATTCTTGTAGCTTCTGTAGGCTTTTTGGACAAAGAAGACAAGAAGCTTCTTGATGATGGATGGATCCACACAGGCATATATACAGACAGATACGCATATGTCTTAAGCCCGCTCTTCAGCCTAGCCTAGGTTATACTTACCACTGGCAGCTTGGTCTCTATTGGAAGCCTAACTCTTACATCAGAACTTAAGCTTCAGCCCAAGGATGCCCATGAAAGCTAAGAGGAAGACATCACAACTCTAACTCAAACCTAACACTAACCCTGTGCAATGGCAGCTAAGACAAGAATGTGAAGCAAAATGACAAAGCAATTGTCGTGGGACGGTATTTTCCAGTTGTACATGTATGGGTGAACTTGTGTAGGTTATTGCTAGCTATGCTTTGAGTGAGTGTTACGGCTAGGGTTTGAGGTTAGAGAAAGACAGAGCTGCGGTTGCACTGCCACTGAAAAGGGCCCTCCAAGGGAAGGAAAATGCTTGCCAAAACAGTTCTCCTGGGAAGAATGTTTTATGGTTGAACATTTATAAGTGACCTTATCTAACTCATTGCTACCTAGGGTAGGGTTAGGAACTAAGCCAACGCAAGAACAATTATTTGGCTTTTTTTTTTCATTCCCTTGAAGGCACTTTTCATTGGTAATGCAGCTGCAGCTCTGCACTGGCTCCATCTCTACACTGTAACCCTAATCTCAGTCCTGACCCGACCTGACATAGGCCAAGACAAGGACACCCATAGGCGTTTGATTGCAAAAGATTGTCCCAGGGCAGTAGTTTTGGCAACGCTTCCCTGCCCTTTTCAGTAGCAGTGCAACCACAGCCGTATGCTATATCTTATTCTGCACCTCAAACCTAACTCCAACAGGAAAATGCCATTTTGGGCCACTTTAGTTCCCCTAGTGGCCTCTTTTCAGGACAATCTAACTGCAGTTCTTTTCTTTGCTTGTCTCTGTACCCCAACTTTAACCCTAATCCTTGCTGAGGCTGCGCATGGGCAAGGACACTGATACACTGTGCACTTGAAATGGTTGTCACAGGACTAATGCTTTTATAGAGCCTCACTTGGCTTGTAATGTCCTCTTCAGTCGCAATCCACTTGCATGTCCACACTTTGTCTCTCTCTGAATGCTATCCCAAATCATGATCAAAATCCTAAGCCTAGTGTGAGCTGATGCAAGGCAAGGCTGCCCATGCAAACATTCAGCACAACATTATCACAAGATAAATCTTTTTCAGCCCATAGTTGCTTGTAAAGCCCCTTCTCAGTCCTGCTTGCACCTGCTTGCTAGGTTTTGTTTCTTCTCCAGCCCTGCTCCCAACCCTTCCCCTAACTCATTCCATAACCATATCCATCCAATCTAGCTTTAAGCACAGCTGTGGTAGCTGAGAGATCGCAGTTGCGAGGGGCTGCCCTCTGAAGGTAGCACAACATACAGCTAATTTGATAGCATTAAATCGTATTCTTCTGAGCTGGAAGTACTTATGCAGCTAGCTTAGGTCCCCTTCTGTAAGCAGCAGTCGTGGATAACTGCACAGGGAAGACAAGAGCAGAGCCAGTGTTTCTGGCTGTCTGCCAGTTCAAGAGGATGTCACACATCTGTCTACAGCACTAAGCTGCTTATGCTGCTGAAGGCCAGAGGCTCACTTTGTCAATGAAGTATTTGATCCTGCAAAATCATCATTAAAATCACCATTAGGTGGCCTGATGGTATTTTGAGTGAACTGGGTGTTTAACATCAGTGTACTCTAATCAGTCACAAAAAAAGTGTGGGGTTGAATTAACAGCTAAACATGGACAGAGAGCAGGACATACCTCACCTTTTAATGGACCAGCCTCCTTCTCCACTACACATCGGGGAGCTTCTCTATCAGGAATAGTATCTGCTCTGTTAACTCACATTGATGTCTTTTATGTGCTAGTTGGACCATACGGAGCTGGTGCTGGAAAGCACCTCCACGGAGAGGGACCTGGGAGTCCTGGTTGACACTAAGTTAACCGTGAGTGAGCAGTGTGCCCTCGTGGCCAAGAAGGCCAATGGGATCCTGGCCTGCATCAGGAGGAGTGTTGCCAGCAGGTCAAGGGAGGTGATTCTGCCCCTCTACTCAGCT